AATTAAAACAATCACAATTAAAACAACCACAATTGAAACAATAAATCACAATTAAAACAATCACAATTAAAACAACCACAATTAAAACAATAAATCACAATTAAAACAATAATCACAATTAAAACAATCACAATTAAAACAATCACAATTAAAACAATAAATCACAATTAAAACAACCACAATTAAAACAATAAATCACAATTAAACAATCACAATTAAAATAACCACAATTAAAATAATAAATCACAATTAAAACAATCACAATTAAAACAATCACAATTAAAACAATAACCACAATTAAAACAATCACAATTAAAACAATCACAATTAAAACAATAAACCACAATTAAAACAATAAATCACAATTAAAACAATCACAATTAAAACAATCACAATTAAAACAATCACAATTAAAACAATAAATCACAATTAAACAATCACAATTAAAATAACCACAATTAAAACAATAAATCACAATTAAAACAATCACAATTAAAACAACCACAATTGAAACAATAAATCACAATTAAAACAATCACAATTAAAACAACCACAATTAAAACAATAAATCACAATTAAAACAATCACAATTTAAACAATCACAATTAAAACAATCACAATTAAAACAATAATTCACAATTAAAACAACCACAATTAAAACAATAAATCACAATTAAACAATCACAATTAAAATAACCACAATTAAAACAATAAATCACAATTAAAACAATCACAATTAAAACAATCACAATTAAAACAATAACCACAATTAAAACAATAAATCACAATTAAAACAATCACAATTAAAACAATCACAATTAAAACAATGGTAATTGCCTTGCGCGTGCTGGCTCCTGCGTGCTAGGTTGCTCGCCAAAGGGGGGCGAGGAGGGGGGCGAGGAGGGGGGCGAGGAGGGGGGCGAGGAGGGGGGCGAGGAGGGGGGCGAGGAGGGGGGCGAGGAGGGGGGCGAGGAGGGGGGCGAGGAGGGGGGGCGAGGAGGGGGGCGAGGAGGGGGGCGAGGAGGGGGGCGAGGAGGGGGGCGAGGAGGGGGGGCGAGGAGGGGGGCGAGGAGGGGGGCGAGGAGGGGGGCGAGGAGGGGGGGCGAGGAGGGGGGCGAGGAGGGGGGCGAGGAGGGGGGCGAGGAGGGGGGCGAGGAGGGGGGGGAGGGGGCGAGGAGGGGGGCGAGGAGGGGGGCGAGGAGGGGGGCGAGGAGGGGGGGCGAGGAGGGGGGCGAGGAGGGGGGCGAGGAGGGGGGCGAGGAGGGGGGCGAGGAGGGGGGCGAGGAGGGGGGCGAGGAGGGGGGCGAGGAGGGGGGCGAGGAGGGGGGCGAGGAGGGGGGCGAGGAGGGGGGCGAGGAGGGGGGCGAGGAGGGGGGCGAGGAGGGGGGCGAGGAGGGGGGCGAGGAGGGGGGCGAGGAGGGGGGCGAGGAGGGGGGCGAGGAGGGGGGCGAGGAGGGGGGCGAGGATGGAGGGGGGCGAGGAGGGGGGCGAGGAGGGGGGCGAGGAGGGGGGCGAGGAGGGGGGCGAGGAGGGGGGCGAGGAGGGGGGCGAGGAGGGGGGCGAGGAGGGGGGCGAGGGAGGGGGGGCGAGGAGGGGGGCGCGGAGGGGGGAGGGGCGAGGAGGGGCGGGCGAGGAGGGGGCGAGGAGGGGGGCGAGGAGGGGGGCGAGGAGGGGGGCGAGGAGGGGGCGAGGAGGGGGGCGAGGAGGGGGGCGAGGAGGGGGGCGAGGAGGGGGGCGAGGAGGGGGGCGAGGAGGGGGGCGAGGAGGGGGGCGAGGAGGGGGGCGAGGAGGGGGGCGAGGAGGGGGGCGAGGAGGGGGGCGAGGAGGGGGGCGAGGAGGGGGGCGAGGAGGGGGGCGAGGAGGGGGGCGAGGAGGGGGCGAGGAGGGGGGCGAGGAGGGGGGCGAGGAGGGGGGCGAGGAGGGGGGCGAGGAGGGGGGCGAGGAGGGGGGCGAGGAGGGGGGCGAGGAGGGGGGCGAGGAGGGGGGCGAGGAGGGGGGCGAGGAGGGGGGCGAGGAGGGGGGCGAGGAGGGGGGCGAGGAGGGGGGCGAGGAGGGGGGCGAGGAGGGGGGCGAGGAGGGGGGCGAGGAGGGGGCGAGGAGGGGGGCGAGGAGGGGGGCGAGGAGGGGGGCGAGGAGGGGGGCGAGGAGGGGGCGAGGAGGGGGGCGAGGAGGGGGGCGAGGAGGGGGGCGAGGAGGGGGGCGAGGAGGGGGGCGAGGAGGGGGGCGAGGAGGGGGGCGAGGAGGGGGGCGAGGAGGGGGGCGAGGAGGGGGGCGAGGAGGGGGGCGAGGAGGGGGGCGAGGAGGGGGGCGAGGAGGGGGGCGAGGAGGGGGCGAGGGAGGGGGGCGAGGAGGGGGGCGAGGAGGGGGGCGAGGAGGGGGGCGAGGAGGGGGGCGAGGAGGGGGGCGAGGAGGGGTGGCGAGGAGGGGGGCGAGGAGGGGGGCGAGGAGGGGGGCGAGGAGGGGGGCGAGGAGGGGGGCGAGGAGGGGGGCGAGGAGGGGGGCGAGGAGGGGGGCGAGGAGGGGGGCGAGGAGGGGGGCGAGGAGGGGGGGGCGAGGAGGGGGGCGAGGAGGGGGGCGAGGAGGGGGAGGAGGGGGCGAGGAGGGGGGCGAGGAGGGGGGCGAGGAGGGGGGCGAGGAGGGGGGCGAGGAGGGGGGCGAGGAGGGGGGCGAGGAGGGGGGCGAGGAGGGGGGCGAGGAGGGGGGCGAGGAGGGGGGCGAGGAGGGGGGCGAGGAGGGGGGCGAGGAGGGGGGCGAGGAGGGGGGCGAGGAGGGGGGCGAGGAGGGGGGCGAGGAGGGGGGCGAGGAGGGGGGCGAGGAGGGGGGCGAGGAGGGGGGCGAGGAGGGGGGCGAGGAGGGGGGCGAGGAGGGGGGCGAGGAGGGGGGCGAGGAGGGGGGCGAGGAGGGGGGCGAGGAGGGGGGCGAGGAGGGGGTGGTGTTGTAATGAGGGTGAGGATGCGGGGATGAGAGTCGGAGCGGGGTCGCCTTGGGTCATCACTGATCCCCTCTCCGCGGAGACCCCACGCGACCCCAATTAAAAGCGCGGCGATCCCTCACCGCGTCAGTCCACCTGTGCCGCGAGGCGCTGCTGCCCGAGTCATTCTCAGCATCAGCAGCAACAGTTGCAGCAGAATCGCCGGCATCTTCGCGAGTGTCGATATTGACGACCGCACAGCAACGGCACCTCCACGGTCCACCACCACCACCACCATCGTCATCGTCGCCATGACGAGCGTGAGGGCGTGCATGGCGATGTCTGCCTTGGCCTGAGGTGTTGGGGTGTTGGGGTTAGGGGGAGTGCAGGGTGGAGCAGGGTGGTGGAGTGCAGGGTGGAGCAGGGTGGGGGAGTGCAGGGTGGAGCAGGGTGGTGGAGTGCAGGGTGGAGCAGGGTGGTGGAGTGCAGGGTGGTGGAGTGCAGGGTGGAGCAGGGTGGTGGAGTGCAGGGTGGAGCAGGGTGGTGGAGTGCAGGGTGAGGCTCGCTGGAGCAGGGCCCGTCTCTGACCCCTCCTCCTACTGACCCCCCTCCCACTGACCCCCTCCTATTGACCACCCCCTCCCACTGACCCCCTCCTATTGACCACCCCCTCCTACTGACCCCCTCCCACTGACCCCCCTCCTACTGACCCCCCTCCCACTGACCCCCCTCCTACAGACCCCCCCGCCTACTGACCTCCCTCCTACTGACCACCCCTCCTACTGACCCCCCCTCCCACTGACCCCCCTCCCACTGACCCCCCCTCCCACTGACAGGTCATTCAAAGCCGCGCTCGATGCAGCCATCCATCACCGTCCCGATTCCCCCCAACTTGGAGATTCCTCTGCTGCCCTTTAGCGCGCGAGATTAATGAACGGCCCCTAATTACCATTGAGCGCGCACCTGCACCACCTGTGCACCCCCCCCCCCCCGCGCCAATGAGGCAATGAATCTCAATGGGCTGTCACCTGGGCACACACACACACGTGGCTTCTCAGCAGGTGTCCTGACTGCAACACTCAGAGACGTTTAACCGCTCACACCACCCTCCGCGGAGCCACTCGGGGACACTCTTAAACAATTCTTAACTCAAAGACAAGGATTCATGTATCATGGATAGATATTTCGTCGCTCGACAGTGGGGCGCGGGTGGAAATATTTTTCCGGAGCTCAGCCCCGTACAGCTCTTGCTGAAGGTAAATCCTGATACAAGAGTTGCAAGGGATATAAAATAAATGTGTTAAAATGTATTCATTGGTCAGCGAGCCGTTACTTTCTTAAAATAATGAAGAGGCATTGGGCGTCTCGGTAATGGGGTTTTATTTGACCATACTTCACCATGCTGGTCAGTGCGGGTTTGTGGAGCGATGCGGAGAGGCCACTGATGTTAGCCGGGAGGCCTCCACCTCATGGTCTTTAACGACAATCAATCACGGTACATCCAGCAGTGGTAGCCTCATTCTTCAGCGTTTGTTTTAATTTAAACCAGTTATCAGGTCTCCAATTCACAGTTCATCCTCATGATTATAGTTTGTAGTTTATTTAGATTAAAGCTCATTGGAAATCGCTGGTATGGACAGAAATGTATCGTCCTTGCAAACAGCAGATCCCTCTACTCACGAGCAGCTCAGCTAAAGCATACATCTTGTGAAGTTTACTTATTTTTACAACTGTACACCACGAAAACACGCACGGCACCAGTAGAGACCGGCATAGAGAAACGACGCAGTACTGGAGGGCGCTGAATTCCTAAAATCATATGAACACGCGTTTTATTTGAATCAACCGAGATATTCCCCTTACAAGAGACCCAGTGTGCAACCATACTGGACATCTTCTTTGGTTCTTTCGGTAAAGTCACGTAGAATGAGAATAAGATAATAAAATAACACAATAAAATTCTCACGACGTTTCGACCACAACGCAAGCGGCCGTCTTCAGGTGAAAGGTACAGACCTGTCGGGACGACAGGTCTGTTCGGTAAAGTCACGTTCAAGGGAAACAATAAAATAATTGTTTTATTGTTTTATATATATTTTATTATTTTATTGTTTCCCTTCAACGTGACTTTATCGAAAGAACCAAGAATACGAATTACTGCAGTCACGAAAGCTTTAAATCATACCGGACATGTCGCACGCAGGTGTGCGGTGATTACAAGCGTGTGTACTGTGTACAGGTGTGTGTACTGTGTCAACTCAGCCTCAAATGAGTACCTGGTATGATATGCAAATATCACCGCGAGGGAGACAAAGGCGGCAAGGCGTGGTTCTGGTCAATCATTAACTCGTATGCTGAAACGACCTTTATAGGTACTCTCGAACAGCACTTATTCCTCCAATCTGTTAAGGCTATATGGGGGATCTTTGTACTTTGTACAGGTGTGTGTGCGATGCCAAGGTGTGTGTGCTGCGTTAAGGTGTGTGGTGCGTACAGGTGTGCACTTGGTCACTAATCCTCGTCACTGCTGCTGCCCCCTCCGCTGCTGTCCGAGTATGCCCCCAGCAGGCTCAACCCGCTAGCTCCGTTTATCATTGGGCCTGCTCCGCTACTCCCTGCTGCTGCTGCTGCCGCCGCCGCCGCTGCTGGAGCCACCGGTCTCAACACACCAGCTGCTGCTCTGTGGGTTCCACTTTGCTGCTTCCCTGCCAATGTCTCCGGAGCAGCTAATGCAGTAGCTGCTGCTGCTGCCGCTGTCGTTGTTGCTGCGCCCTTCGCGGCCGGTTTCCTGACCACCAGGCCCTTGAGTCCCGCCTGGCCGATGGAGCCAACGCTGCGCTCCCATGTCTCCGTCTTGCGCTTCTTTTCCGCCGGTTGATCTTCTTCACCCTGACAACCGGACGAGGTGCGCCGACATCGTTAACTTCACATCGTTAAATCTTGACTTAAAGCTTTCGTGACTGCAGGAATTCATATTCTTGGGTCTTTTGGTAAAGTCACGTAAATAGGTTCAAAGAATGCAAGCGGTCGTCTTCAGGAAAACACGACGACCGCTTGAGTTGTGATCGAAACATCGTAGTTTTCTGTTTTTTTTATTTTAACATATCTACGTGACTTTACCGAAAGACCCAAGAATATTCACATCGTTACTGTCATCACGTGTCCCGGGGTCGTCGGGTGCCGTGTGATCACGAGCACCACAGTCCTGCTCCGTTCAAATACAGTTTGTTAATGCTCCACACACATGATGATTGCTCTGACCTCTGGAACAGCCAACCAGCTCCAATATAAAGCAATGTAGTGTTAGACCACTTTAAATCAAGAAACTTTAGCTGTCATTGGGCTCCCACCTGGTCATGAATACTGAACACGTACACATGGTCAGTTACACAATTAATGAAGCTTAAGTTATTTCCTGCTCGAATGAACATTGAGGCAGTGCTCTTGTCCCTGAAAGTATACATTCCCATGGTGGTTGCGAGTATGTCCATAGGACAATCGCTTTTGACTTCCCCACAAAGTGGCACTCATTTTATTAACCCCAGGGGGATGATGGGCTGGGTCAACCCCCAACCAACATTGACTTATTGAGCCACCAGGTCCAATAATTTTGGACGTACACGAGACATTTCAGAGATGCAAGTGACCACTGGTATATATTGGTCAAGTGTTTTTTTTTGCTTGGACATAGAATATCGCCACACGGCATGGCTGACCTGCGTGAGGATGTCGGTGGGTCTCATCGGAGCTGCTGATGACGAGAGGCGAGCTCTTCGAGACTCTGCCTCCTCCTCCGCCGAGTCGGAGTCGGAGTCGATCAGACGCTTCCCCTTGCGCTCGTTCATGATCTCCCTGCGCGACGAGGGGCCGTAGACTCGGTCAGCGGTTGGGATGTAACGATCAATCAGTGCATTTGAATCGTGCGTCGTGGTGCTAGGCATGCACACATCGAATCATGCGCCTAACTCCCCAATTGTTAAAACATCAGGGGTAAAGATGAATGTTGGAGAGTCCTTCCCCCACACCTCCGATAATTATCAAGGTTGGCTACGTATGGTGCAAAATAAGTTGAACATACATACAAATATACAAACGTGCCCAAGAAAACAATGAAGGAAGTGATGCAATGAAATCACCTCAAGTGTAGGAGATAGATGGATTGTGACATCACTGGATTTATTGTGGCTGCTGCTGATGATGACGATGATGATAGTTTGTTCGTGAATGGTTCAAGTAAACGCTGATGCCACTTGGGACTCTTGATAATGAAATGATACAAGAATGTGAAATCATGGATTTTTCCATTCACGACTCAATGCATGCATCGTGTGCATAGGAATTCACTGAAATCAACGAACTTCAGCATTACATTCCCAGCACGGAGACAGGTGTTACCCTCGCTCCCTCCCCACCTTCCCCACAACCGTCTCCTCCACCCCATCCCCACTCACTGTATCTCCCTCTCCTCCTGCTCCAGCTGCTTCTGCCGTGCCAGCTCCTCGAGTGCCGTGTGCCTGGCGAGCATCCCCTCAAAGTCCACGGTCGCCTGCCGCTGGTTCAGGTCCTTCAGCTCCTCCAGGTTCTCCAGAATGTCCATCTCCCACTTGGAGTCCTTGGTGCGGTTCTCGAGGACCTGGCGGAGTGCAAATCTCAGTTGTAGCTGGCTGCTTTCAACAACCGAGATACATTGTGTCGCTTTCCTCTTTGCTTCACTTTTGTCTCTTCTTTTTACCAGTTCTGTTCCGATTGTGCTATCGGCATCATTGCATGCGATGAAGAATAGCAGAGCATCTCACCCTTAGCTCTGCAATATCCAGAAGTGGATACTACAGAGTTACCTTTGAGCTCCCATCGAGTGACCACTGCTCCACTGAGTAGAAAGAGCAGCAATTTCCCACCCTTCTTTCCGTACGAGAGCAATGCCCATCGCATGACAAACTGATATTTAATTTTCAGACCTGGAATGCTAACATCATTAAGTGCAGTCGATGGGGACCACTTTGAAACCATCATCTCATTGCACTTAAGAAACCAGTTTAATCAAAGGTGGTTGCAGCCTCGATTCGAACCCTGGACCTCGGTGGTGCCAGTTCAGCGCCGTGACTCCGCGCCACGTGGCCATCTTGCAGCATCTTCCTTCTCGCGTGGGCAAGCAGCTCGCGCGTCTCACCTTCATGGGATTGTTGAGCTCCTCCTCCTCTCGCTCTTTCACAATCCTCTGCTCCTCCTCCTCGATCAGCTTCTCCGCCTGGAAGTTGCGCGTCGCACCATGCTCGATGGCATAGTCGGTGTTCTCCGGATCAGTCTGCGGATGGCAGAAAGGCAAAGAGGTGGGCGAGTGCTCAAAGTTAAACCGGCAGCGCAAACCACGGTTGTATGAGTCCTCATACGGGGCGATCGGAAAGTTTTTACCCAGTTTCGGTTTCTTATTTTGGAACCAAATACACATATCCTACAATGTACATCCTATTGTTAATTTACTGCCGGGGGAAGGTCTTCCCAAGTTGGGTCTCTCATGGGGGTTGTTTGCCCATACTTCACCATGTTGGTCAATGCAGCTTGTTGACGGTTCGTGGGGGGCCCAGGTTCAGATAACATTCGATGCTGAGTTCGTAGCAGAGTGCGTTAACCACTTCACCATCACTTGTTTAAGCTCCATCAATAGAATGTTAAATACATGAGAGAATGTATGGGGACAATCGTTTCTCGGTGAGGTGCCACATAAGAAGGCATTACAAGCACGGGCCACTAAGTTTATAGATAGCAGGAGTCTTTGTAATACTACGCACTCTGAATGGGTTTCAAGATTGCAAGAAATCGATAATGGTATCCATAAGTTTATCGGTCAGAGCCCAATGTTAAAAAAGCCAAAAATTGTGAAAAAACTCAAAGGACCAGAACTTTGGTTGGAAAAGTAGCTGAAGAATGTAACAAAACGTGTTGTGAAAGTTTAAAATTAAATACTAAAGGACGATTTTTTTACTATATCAGGTCGCAGGGCACAAGTGGGAAAGCTGCAGGGAAAACACTTCTTGAATTACCTTAACATTGGAGAAGCATTTACATTTGATATAATATTAATGATGACCTTAACATCAGGCAGGGACTTTACAATCATCACGTGTCGAAGCACTAAATTATATGCATTGTTACACCATAAAAAACTCAGAAGAGATAACAAACAGCAAACGTGGTGGCCAAGTAACCGTGTCATGGCCGTTGTTTACTGGGTCAGCGGGCGCGAGAGTTCCCTCTTTGTTGTTCTAGTTTCAGTCGCATCGTGAGAGCAGTGTCCCACAGTAAAGCTGTTCCCTCACTCAGTCCTGTCCTTCCGTGGGCCTGACGGGGATGAGCGAGTGCTGTGCACACCTTGAAGGTGATCTCAGCCACACATCGAGTGCACTTGATGTAGAAGCGGAAGATGTGCAGGCCCAGGTAATTCTCAGTCAGCACGGTCTCCTTCCTCGCGTTGAATTTCTTCCCCTTGTAGATGTATTCACCACACGTCTTACACCTGCACGCACGGCGACGACAACAACAGCCGCCATTCGCCACGAAGTGACGGTCATGTTACTCCAGCACTTGTGCCAGACTATGTGCACTTTGAGGCCACGTGAAGTGTAAGAGGTCCTCTGGCAAAAGGACCCTATGACAGACCCAAGTGTTATGAGTTAATTGACTGGCCCAATCACCATCTGAGCTACCCATTGTGCCAGCATTGACACACATGTACACACACTCTTAAACAATGATATTGCTATTTAGTCTTACAGGTGGCATGGTCAAGTGCTTTATGTGATCACCTAAGAAGGAAGGCAAGGCACAAGATGAGGTGGCATGACCAGCACCACGGCTGACCACTTTTCTTCCCCAGTGCTGCTGTTTACAAAATCACAAAGTACTTTGGACAGGCTCAGACACTGTTGCTGATATTCAGAATTTAGTGTGTGGACTACTGCATTATCATTCTTTACACATACAATCTTAGCTATCGTTGCTTCGTAACCAATAGTGCAACCACAATTAGCTACACTGTGATTAAATCTACACTAACTGCAACACCGGATGCAACGGCCACAATTAAAAGATGAATTTTTGCCGAGTAGCGCTAATGGGTGCACGTTAAAGTCAAATGTATTTTCAGCAACAGCCGCAGTTGTAGCATGCATTACTCGTTAGAGGGTGGGGTACAAACATTAAATAATATAATGACCTAAGATAAATCATTGTTATTTCCCCTAGGGGCCAGCTTAGTCAAGACAATGCACCCCCTACAAATCCTCACCATGCAGATGAAAGCCTCTCCGAATGTAGCTATTCACCGTGCTAAGAAATGTAATGATTCAGGGTCACGGTTCGATTCTTCTTTTGCTCCTGTGCTGTAGGTAGAATCAATACTGGCTGCAAAGTTTAACATAAACCAACCACAAGCAATTGATATCAATTAGTTTGTCTTGCACATTGCTTTGTGCAGCAACTTTCAAGTCCATGTTCATGTCTGATGGGTTCGCACATTCTAAATCCCTGTTCTTCTTTGGGCCTTAATGTTAATCATGTATCGATTTAAAGCTTTCGTGACTGCAAGGATTCATCTTCTTTGGTTCTTTCGGTAAAGTCACGTAAAATGAAATAATACAATTTTATTATTTTATTCTCATTCTACGTGACTTTACCGAAAGAACCAAAGAAGGTTAATCATGCAATTTTTTTAAAAAATATAATGTATTCTTATATTGCACTTTGCATTGTAACCGCATCTCATGGCACATTAAGGAATGAAAACCAACGTACTTGTAAGAACAGAAATACACACACATGAAACATTTTTTTTATAAAATCCTACGAATCAGCAGAAACCAAATCGAAAACCGGTGTGAAATAAATATCTTTGAGATATGTCTTTCAGATGGTAACACTCGTGGACCTGTTCATGTGCACAGACAGTGAGTTCCACACGCTTCACTTTGTATGTGACCAATAAAGGATTTAAAGCTATTTAAAACGATGCTTGCAACCTGTAATTCGTGTCGACATTGCACGAACCATTGGCTCTACCAGAAGAGAGCAACAGTGAGGTGTTGGTGGCATCAACCACACTGGCTGTAAAATAGCTTTGGCATTGATATACAAACCGTAATCGATCTTACGTGCAGAATTCGTTGAATGCATCCTGAGTGGAGTAAATGCTTTTAATCAATGAACCGGCTAGGCGTTAGATGTCCAAGAGCCACCTCAAGCCACGTGCACGCACCTCATGTTGAACGGTGCCATGAGCCGCACCACATACTGACGATCCTTGGGGAGCTTGAGCTTGGGGATTTTAGCCGGGTCAAAGTCGGGGGGGTAGTATTTCTGCAGGAGCCACACACATACACACACACTCCTGAGTCATTGAGAGCGACGCGGCCAGCTCAACTCCTGAGAATGTAAGCTGCCTAGGGTTACGTGTAGCCACCTCTCACGAGTCCAGCTCTAGCTAACCATTTTATTCTTCTTACTAGCCCAAGTTATCGCTCTTGTGATATATCCAAAGCTTAGCACTGGGACTTGCTCAAGCAACTAGCTATAGCATTTAATATAAAGACAAGCTAAAGAAAAACAATCTATAGTTAACATTGTCCTTGGCTTCAGCATCATGCTTCACTCTAAGTGATCGCCTCACTTTTAGCTTTAGCAAAATGCTCTGGCTTTAGCACTAACCCCAGCCTCAGCAACATGCCCAGTGCCGGATTAAGCGAGTGTGGGGCCTGTAGCATATTTTATAAAGGGGCCCTAAATAAATATTAAAACACAATTTTTTTACTTGCATAGTAAAGTGATTGTATTTTTTCATTTGCTATACAGCCAGATAATACTACATATCGCTAACCTTAAACACCCAGTCGTTCATAAAAGTTGAAGGCAGTATAGTACTATAGTAATAGAGCAAGTGCAGAATCAATTAATCGGAATTGATAGCTTGAAAGCATTTTGCTCAGGGCCCATGAAAGTGCGGGGCCCATAGCATCATGTGTAGTAGCTACATGTGTAGTAGCCACTTGTGTAGTAGCTACTTGTGTAGTAGCTACATGTGTAGTAGCTACTTGTGCTACTAGGATAGTCTGGCACTGAACATGCCCCATGTTTAGCTTGACCTGTGGTCAATTACACTTGTAATTGAATAATTCATAGTGAATTGCAATGACAATGCAACTATTTACAGATAATTCCGCTTTGATTGTTATTATAACGGACCACAACCACGTCTGGTCTGAGCTCCAACTCCAGTTCGAGCTAAAGCCCCAACCTGAGCCTGGAACGTCTGTTCTAGTTCTGGCACCAAATCAAGATCCAGATGCAGAACTAGTTCTAAAATCAGTCCATTCGGTGTTTTGCTGGAACACAATCATTATGATAATCAAAGGATAGTCCACAACCTTACCAGGATAAAAACAATGTTTGTTTTGATTTAAAGCTTTCGTGACTGCAGGGATTCATATTCTTGGTTCTTTTGGTAAAGTCACGTAGAAGGGAAACAATAAAATAATAAAAATATAAAACAAAATTATCACGACGTTTCGACTGCAACACAAGCAATCATCATCAGGTGTGAAAACCACAGCATGAAAATTTGAAAAAAGTGGCGGGTTTTTTTTTACGTTAGCACCACGGAGAGCGATTTGGCAGTTATTCAGATGGACGAGTCCATCTATGTTCGGAAAAGAGGAGGGGGGGAGACGAAAATAATGGATGCGGTCTGAAAGCCACCGTAAGCGTGAACAATCAATTAAGACCCGAAATGGTTTATCAAAACCTTCCAAAGATTGCTAAGCCAGAATCCATCTTCTCTGTTGAAATTGCCTCTGTGTTTGTATATGTGGATAGCCTCATGAACGAATCTCTTATGGTGGCCAGATGGCTTGCAAAGAACCTCTGTCTTGGAGAAGTCAATGTCATGTGAGCCTACTGAATTATAACAGTGATCTGCCACAGCCGAGGTGTTGGTCCTACCGTGTTTTAGGTCTGCTTTGTGTTCACGAATGCGGTCCGAGACATGTCGTTTGGTTTCTCCAATGTAACTACTACCACAGAGGCAACTTAGTTTTTAGACGCCAGGGTACTGTATGTCCGGAATCACATCTTTTACAGACAGAACCAGATCACGGATTTTATGTAATGTGTTGAATCGGACCTGGATCTTGTGTTTATTTAAAATTTTGGAGATCTTTTTTGTGATCCCCGCAATGTAGGGTAAAGTGATGGTTTTGAAAGGCTCCTCAAGAGGGTCCTTCTTCATGGTTGGAGTTATAGCTTTGCGGATTGTGTAGTCGGAGTAACCATTAGCCTTAAGAGCTTGGTGTACGTGCTTGAGTTCACTGGCTATGTGTTCCTGGTCGGATATGCATTGGGCTCTATGGTGCAGAGTCTTGATGAGGGAATTCTTCTGGGATGGTTGGTGGTGGGAATCCGGTTTCAGGTAAGCATCCGTATGGGTAGCTTTCCTGTAGACAGAGTGGCGCATTGAACCATCAGGTCTCTTTTTTATTAGGACATCCAAAAAAGGTAGCTTGCCATCTTTTTCGACTTCCATGGTAAATCTGATGGCTGGGTGTATGGAATTGATGTGGTCGAGGAATTGGTCTAGAGCAGGCCGGCCATGTGGCCAGATGACAAAGGTGTCACCCACGTACCTCTTCCATGAGGTTGGGCGCACAGTGGCAGTCTGGATGGCGTCAGTCTCAAATTTCTCCATGAAAATGTTGGCTACAACCAGAGATAGGGGGGAGCCCATTGGGGTGCTCTCAGTTTGTTTGTAGAAAGTTCCATTCCAAGTGAAGTATGTATTGGTTAAGCAGTGTCTCACCAGGGGGGGTACCTCAGTGTTTAGTCCTTGATGAACCAAGTCTTCAATGATTGTGATGGTGTCAGGTACAGGAATTTGGTGAATAAGGAAACTACATCAAAACTGACAAGCAGGTCGTCTGGGGACAGGGAAATACCCGTGATTGTCGATACCAGGTGAGTAGAATTTTGTACCGCAGAGGTGGTTTTTCCAGTGAAAGGCCGCAGGATTTCAGACAGAAAACGAGCCAGTTTGTAGGTGGGGGAGTTGATCGTAGAGACGATGGGACGAAGGGGTGTATCTACTTTATGTATTTTTGGTAAGCCGTATAATCTTGGTGGCCTGGCAGCAGAAGGTTTCAACGAGAACTGTTTGGTTTGATCAATTAATGCGGTTGAATCAGAAATGATTTTGTTGGTTTGTATGACGAGGCTGTTGGTGGGATCTCTTTTTACTTTTGTATAGCTGCCATCGTTGAGTAATTATTGAATTTTGTTGTTATATTCTATTTTATCCATGATGACAGTGGCATTGCCCTTGTCGGCTGAGAGGATGACAATGTCATCCCTCTTTTTTAATTTATATAATTCAAAACGCTCATCTTTGCTGAGGTTGCTAGCTGGCATCTTAGCGTTTTTGAGGGTTGCAGCGATTTTAGATATTGCTATGTCTGCAGCGATGTGACCCAGGCCCTTGTTTCCCTTCTACGTGACTTTACCGAAAGAACCAAGAATATGTTTGTTTTACATACATTTACATTTGATCAGTTTAACATGTATTATGGATTAACATTTTATCATTATTTTCACACTATTTTAGTCTTGGGTGTGATGGCAATGTTCAGGAACTAAATGTGCTGGCCAAGAGCAAGCTTTGAGGAGAGAGTTCACGTAGTGGGCCACAGTTTGGGTCGCAAGGCCAAAATCGCACTCCGTGTATTGTCTTTAATTTGACATCTATGATGGAGATTTGTGCATCGGCCTGTTGATGTTCTGATGCAGTTGATGGTTACATCAAAATGACTAATATCAACATGGAGTAGCCAAACACAGGACTACGAATGTAACAATGGCCACAATTGCCGAAACCCGTATTGACATGGTATAAGTTACACTTGATCTCGGTAATGTTTGGGCTTCTCTGCACCCACACTCTGCATGTCAAAGCCACGGCGATGTTGCTGCTCAAATGAGCATTGAAGCGGTGCTCGTCGCCTGTTTGCAGCCCTGACGCAGTGGCGGAAATTCCACATTCCGACGGCGGGGGCGAGTCTATCCACGTATATGTACATATGGGATACGGCGTTTCGGAGGCCCGGGTTGGTGGGCTACGTAGGGATGTGCGAGAGGGCAGCACAGCAAGCTGGTTCATGGCCCCTTCTGTGCTCCAGTTTCCTCCCACAGGCTACTCAGTAAAGCATTTGGCTAAACATTCCGATTGAAACGCCTTCAATTCACTGAGGTGTCCACGGATAGCGGTTTTATTGAGGGTCCGTGTCAATGTCGTGTTACCAACGCTCTGCGTGTGCGGACAACGCGTGTCGTATTGATGCTGTGTAATTATTGTACCATAGTGTCGCGGTACATTAGGGTAATACTGGGTGTTGTTGTTGTTTATAATTGCTACGCGTGACTTGTTTGTCATGTTTAACTCTCTAAATTGTTATAACCTGACAGGGCCTGCTCGCCTAGCGGAGCCCACGGGTTTGCCTAACTCTGGCCGCCGACTCCGAACGAAGGTTCAGCGAAGCCGGCTCGTGCCGCTTCATGTTGAGTGATGTTGGTGGTGATGTTGAGTGATGTTGTTGGTGATGTTAAGATATGTGGGTGGTGATGTTGACGATGTTCTTACGTTTAGAACTTTGCGCTCAGACATCCTGAGGACGAGACGAGGGACGGCGAGCAGCGACGCGGACCCGGACTCGGAAAAAACGAACGCCGCATCCGGAACTAAAAATAAGTTCCGGGTCTTCGCGTGCGCCCAGCGGGGAGCGGTGGCGCAGTGGTCAGCGCCGCACTGCGCCACGAACCCGGCGAACCGAGTTCGAGTCCCACTCGCGACCAATAACGGTGGCGAATATTTGAACCGGGCCCTTAGCCCTCTACTACGTTGACTCAGCCTTAAATGAGTAACCTGGTGCGCTGTGTATAAACATCAGGGACACCCAGCCGCCTTCAGAAGCCACATATATGTGTAACATAGTGTCATGAGCATTTAGTAAACATTGTGTACGTGACCGTATTGTGCCAATAAAAAAGTAGAGTGATTTATGACTAATTCACACGAAATGCACCCGATGTGGTAAGCCAAGCAGCCTGTAGCCTGGTTAGTGTTTGTGTCGGTGAGCACAGCGCGACGTGGTGATCAGCAGAGGGCAGTGCAGAGAACATCTAAAGCACGTGTTGTGTTGTACTGCACTCCTCTGCTCCCACGTCCATTCTCCCCGCCTTCACCAGACCGCGCGAGGTGAAGTATGGACATTCGACCTCTACGACCGATGCGGCGTGGTGGGAAGGCCCTCATCCAGCAGTGGATTTGACAGAGAGCTACAACTATAGGGGCCGTCCATAAATGACGTCACGCACCTGGGGCGGGGGGGTCAGACATTTGTGACGATGTGTGACGAAGGGGTGGGGGGGAGAAATGTGACGTCACATCAAAATCCGCAACTTTAAATAAATATAAACACGCTCTAATTAATTGAATAGACTTCATAAATGTTTTCTACAAAATCAGAGTGCAGCGCCACATTAAATACGCACTACAATGACAATAGTTTAAAGCGATTTGACGCATGTTTGATTTGGGGGGGGGGCAGAGCTTTGTGACGTCATATTTGAGGGGGGGGGTCTGACTTTTTGTGACGCCGTGTGACTAGGGGGGGTGGGGGGTCAAAAATCGTCCAAAATCGCGTGACGGCATTTATGGACGGCCCCTTACCAGTGCAAGGGTGGCGTTCGGAACATTGTGTCCAGGAATGGGTCGATGGGTTTGGCAGCATTCCCATGCGTGTACAGCAGGGGTCACTGACCCCCCCCTTGCGAAAGAGGCAAGGCAGAAGCTCCCTGTGGTTTCATCTTCCACGAAGCTGCTCATGGTCCATCCCAAATCGCATCCACTGCACAAGCCGTGGCAGACGCGGATACCTTGAACACTCTCCCGTGTGCGACTGCGGCCATCCAGAACAGACCGTTCAACATTTAACGACGAAATGTCCGATCCACAAAGACGAAGGAGACATCACAGCCATGAGCATACACGACGACTCCGCTGTTCCCGACGCGGTTATCCGGGCTTGACCACCTGAACGTGAAATTGTCGTCGCTGCTCCGCAGCAGAAGACTGACCCCCCCCCTCCCCCCACGGACTCGAGTCTCCCGCATCTACCCGACCCGCAAGCCGTGAACACGACCTCGATAGGGCCCCCCTATCGAGGTCGTGTTCGCGGCTTGCCTGCGGGTCACGCACGCAGGTAACGGGTCACAGGGGTTGGAGGTCACCATTTCTCATCTTCACATTTAGCTTTACTTTGACGGTATGTTTAACTTACCCATGTTTCCCCAGGAAAGCTACTCTGAGTCTCAAGACTTTTGCAGGAGGGGTCGACTTTTCTACTGCTCCGCGTGATCCCAATTGTGTAGATCGTCGGAAATGTTTCATCGTTGGGATGTGTGATCAGTTACATTGTACAGTATGTTTTGTAACTGTGGTAGGAAACGGAAGGGCCCAGAGGAAAGCCATGCAGAATAGGGAGAGAGAACAAACTCCAGACAGAATGTAGCCCGATTCGGGAATCGAACACTGACGCTTCGTGTTGTGAGGCAGGAGCTTTACCACTGCGACACCCGGCCGGCCAATGGCCTCATCTCTCAGCAGTACGAACTCATCCATTATCTCCAAAGCCGCATTTATAAGACGCGTGAACGTTCGTCTTCACGCATGGAAAGATGTCCCTACCCATGTGCATGCGTCTGTCATTCACAACATCATTTCTCATTCCCCAGAAACATCAACCCCCCTGATTGCCATCTTCCCGTACGCATATCGTCTCAGCTCTACCTCCCATCTCATTTCGAATCTCTACAGCCTCTTTTAAAAAATGTGCGATCTCACATCTTCACGGCCTAGATTTTCTCCAGACACTCGTCTGTCATTTCCCCACTTTACAATCTCATTTCTCAGAATCATCGCCTTAACCAACGCATTTCATCTCCGGCTCTCGTTCAACCCGGATCTCTGAAGTGGCTTTCCCGCTGCTGAATCTTCTCTTCACCTCCGCCAGAGGGCACCGGAGTCGCGCCGTGCAGGCGTCCACGGCGCGTGACGCTCGCGGGCAACCTTTGGTGACTCCTCTGCCGGACGAGCGAAGTGTCCACGCCGTGCGGGTCGTGGGGGTTACGTTGGGCACACGTCACCGCCACAACTGGCACCAAGCCGGTGGGTGCTGAAGGTCTAGGGAGCAAAGACTTGGGAGCACGGAAGTACAGTACAACATGTGATTGCTCTGCGCTGTGAGTAGTGACTTAAATAATGCATGCCCCCGTGTAAATCCCGCGAATGCTCAAATATTAATGGGGTGGTGCCTCGCCGGAGACTTTCATTAAACATGCAGGGCGTACCGACCTCGCTGCATGCATTTGGGGCAATCGCGAGTTGTTATGCAAGTTTAACTTCTTTCGTAGTCAACCACGCTAATCGGAGGTGCGGGGAAGGACAACAAATTAAACACAAAAAGCAGTTGAACCACGCACAGACGTGGGGGGCAGGGGAGATGAGCTGCGCAGTTTGTCCCGGGTCTCAGATCGTAGAGGGTGGCTCAGAAACAGCCGAGGAGGGAGGCTCATTTGGAGTTTCCAAAAACCTTTTGGGGGTCCCTGGGGAGGAAGCCGGGGCCTGGGGCGTGGGCACCTCCCGTGTCTCTGGAGGGACTCGTCACCATTTCCCTTCCGTGTCTCTGCCAGGGCCGCAGGCGCACCGTGGAAGTTGCTTCGAATCAAACTCGTGGATGGTCCCCGATCGTTATTGGCCAGGTTACAGATCGGATCCGTCTGTTCGCTCCTCACAGCGGAGTTCTACTGCGCTAACGATTATATTCGCCTTCATGAATGTAAAATTAAAGACAGGTCGCAGTAGTGCGATTGTGGCCATGCAACCCAATCTCTGGACCAGATAGTGAGCCACTGTAGTCTGCGCTCCTTCAACGCTGGAGGAACAGCAACATTAAACTTGCTCGTTTAAACTAAGCGAATTCTATATTGATTTGAAGCTTTCGTGACTGCAGGATTCCATACTGCTGAAGTAGGCCAACTTCAGCAGTTGAAGTAGGCCAACCTCAGCAGTTTTTTCTTGCTGTGGTTGTTCCACCTGATGACGATTGCTTGTGTTGCGATGGAAGCGTCGTGATCTATTTTTTTAACCTACGTGACTTTACCGAAAGAACCAAAGAGTAAACGAATCCTGTCGCCTGGCTAGCAGCAGACCTAGACAGTGACATCTAGGCCCTGAGCACATTGCCAACCACACGATTAGAATCGGCATATTCAGCATGAGTCACTTAGTTAAAGGGAGAAAACGTGGACTTGATACCTCCATGATTTTATTTTTATGTAACATGTGGATGTCTCTTAGCCACATCTAAAAATGTCGCTATGTACCTCCTATATCGATGCTTTCAAGTGATGGGGATATCGGCACAGCCACGATACCCGCAGTGGCCGTGCCTCGCAATCTGTGGAGCGCCACACCTCGCTCTGTCGGAGATGCCCCGCTAGGAAGAACCTTCCAGACTCTCGCAGCATCTCATGCCACGACCACCACGACAACTCGACTCGTCGCTGCCCTCCCCAGGAGCGGGGGACTCGAGCCGTTCCTCCATCCCGTGGCGCGAGGCGACACTCGTAGCGTGGCGGAGTCCCGAGCTCCTGGTTTAATTGCAACCTCGGATCGTGATGAGCCAGCACTCCCAACTCGAGACGCCGCCTCTCTTTAATTGCTTCACAAAGCTAATTTACATCTTCTCGCTGCCTGCCCTCCCTCATCCCTCTCGTTCCGTCTCGCTCAATCGCCTGCGGTAAGGGAGCTCTGGAGATCGTTAATAAATTGTTCGCGGAGTTGATTATGAATTCGTTTTTTTTTTCTGATGCTGTTGGGGGGGATACAATGAAAGCGAATTCGATTTTTTATCGCGTTTATTGTGGGGGATGAACCGAGTCTATCGTAAAGGAACGCTCTTGCACTCAAATGTACAGCTTGTCCCACATCATGGGAACGTGGAAATGCCACGACTCGCACATGACTTCCAAATGAGACGAGCTGAGACACTCTGCTGTCACGGAATGTCTCACGGAGTGACTACCGTGACATTTGCGAGACACACAACACGCGGAGACAAAAGCAGTGCCCCCCCCCCCCACAAAGCAAAACTGAGCGAGGATTTTATTTTATTAACCAACCCCTGGAGAACGCCTCAATAAGCTCGCAGCTCACGGGAAAACTGAAAAGGTGAACCCCTCGCCGTGTCCGCGTCACACACGCACACACGAATCGTTTCCTTTGTTTAATCGTCGATCCAGTAATAATATAGTAACAATAATAACAATCATCATGAACAACATAATAACACGAGACGAGAAAAACGGAACACCTAGGAGTTTAAAAATGAGCACGGGGAAACCAGCGACTCACGGTCCGCATGCAGAGCCGCACACCTGCCCACGCACACATACCCACAAACACTTGCCACGCACACATACCCACAAACACTTGCCATGCACACCTGCCCATAAACACCTGCCACACTCACATGCCACAAACACCTACCCACAAACACTTACCATGCACACCTGCCCACAAACACCTGTCACGCACACATACCCACAAACACCTACCCAAGCACACCTGTCACACACACCTACCCACGCACACCTGTCACACACCTACCCACAAACACCTACCCACACTTACCATGCACA